TTGGCTGCCATGGGCAAGTTTCTGAGAGATGCAATACACGTGCACTGCCTCTTAAGACAGGTGTTTTAACTCCGGTCCTCTGAAGAAGTGGGCTGTGCCCACGAAAGCTCATGATACCATCTACGTGTTTTATTAAGTCTATAAAGTGCTACCAGACCATTTGCTGTTGTTTAAGTTTATCCTGTACAGACTAACTCGGCTACCCCCCTGAAGCTTCCTAAGACAGGGCATGCATCTCAGTAACTCACCAGATCTTAGACTGGAGCAACTCCATTCTCTCTCCCCCTCTCACTGCTCTGCAGAGATGGGGTACAAGGGCCAGGGGACTCTAACTTCAGCACTCCTGTCTCCCCTCCCCTGTGGCACAGCTACCCAGCAGTAATGCCCTCGCAGAAGTTGCCTACAGAATGGAGCAAGGTGGGGGAAGGGGCAGCTGAACACACTGGTGTGGGCTGTAAAGTATGCACACTCTAATAATCAGCTGAGCAGTCTGGATTCCACCCATAGGCCATATTTTGCCCATCTCTGACCTAGCAGATACATTAAAAGCATCTGAATAGTGGGCTGGACCTTTGCCCGTGAACACAAGCTCTCGCATATAAAAGTGATGTTATGGCAAGGACTTTCACAAAGGATTATTGACATTCAGCCACTCTTTAAAAATCTCTTCACCTTATAACCTACCATTGCATTCCTACTACAGGCAGTCCCCGGGTTACGTACAAGATAGGGACTGTAGGTTTGTTCTTAAGTTGAATCTGTATGTAAGTCGGAACTGGCGTCCAGATTCAGCCGCTGCTGAAACTGATCAGCGGCTGATTCCAGGAAGCCCGGGGCAGGGGCTTCCTGTAGTCAGTCACTGGTCAGTTTCAGCAGCGGCTGACTTGGGGACGCCTGGGGCAGAGCAGCTGGGGTGCTGCCGGGTTGGTCCAGTAGCGCCCAGAGCGGCGCTACGGGACCAACTGGCAGCGCCCCAGCTGCTGTACCACAGGCGTCCAGAGCAAAGCCGCGGAGCACGGGGGCAGCGGGACAGCCCAGACGCGCCGTGGCTGTCCTGCTGCCCTCGGGCTCCGCGGCTTTGCTCGGCTTTGCTCCCCCGTCTCCCTGGTCTGCAGACCAGGGGGACGGGGAGCAAAGCCACGGAATACGCGGGCAGCGGACAGCCCAGACGTGTCTGGGCTGTCCGCTGCCCGTGTGCTCCGCCGCTTTGCTTCCTCTCCCTGGTCTGCTGGAGACCAGGGAGACGGGCCCTGTTCGTAACTGCGGATCCGACATGTGTCGGATCCGCGTAACTCGGGGACTGCCTGTATATCCATACTGCTCAGATAATCCACAAGGATACAAGAAGAGCATCCCACCTCAGCTGGTGAAAGACATTACAAATCCTGGATTTTTAAAATTAAAATTTTCTCCTCTTCCAATGATGCAAGGTGTGAATTATTAAAATGTAACACATTTATTATTTGCATTACTGAAGTGCTTAGAAGCCTTAATAATGTACAGATACCAAAGAAAAGATGGCCCCTCTCAAACATTTATAACTTAAGGACTGATCACTGCAAACTTCACACTAGAGACATAGCTATGCCAACCCAACTCTCAATGTAGACAGTACTAGGTTGATGGAAGAATTCTGCACTCCTCTAGGAGACTGATTAATTACAATGAGAGAACCCGTCTCATTACTGTAGAGTGTGTGTATGCTGAAGCAGTACATGGCTCCACTGTAGCATGGTAGTTGTGCTGCTATAACATTTTAAGATATACCCTAAGGCTACGTCTACATTGCGCTCTCTTGAGCAAGAACATATGCAAATGAGGCACAGTGATATTCATTGCCATGCCTGATTTGCATATGTTCTTGTGCAAGAGAGCGCAATGTAGACATAGCCTAAGCATGAAACAAGAGCCAGCAAATGGATGACATGGGTGGGCAAGATAAGTCTCACAGTTGCCGGGACCCTCACGATGCAGCAGTGCAGGGCTTCTCTGTGTGCTCTGGAGGGAGAAGTTTCCTGTAATCTCCCCGCCCAATCCTCAACTCCTACTAGCCAGAAACAACCAGACAATAGGAGCTGAGAGATTGGCCTGGGGAACAAGGGCGGTGAAAGCCTTTCCCTCTCCTGGAGAGGAGAGCCACATGGATGTGGGGACCATATTTTCCAAACCAAAATTAGGGACATGCTAGCCATGCCCCTGCCACAAGATGTCCCACCCCTGGAGGTAGTACTCCTGGGGTCAAGGTGGACACATGACCAGAAGTAAAGGGTGTTGTGTGACCCCTCTAAGAACTCCTCCCACCGTCCTCCTACCAATAGGGATGGGGTTGGCTCCCAAAGGACTCCCCCATGCCACTATCCTGCAATTGCATTAATTCAATTTGCATTGTATTAACTTGGGGGGAGAAGCTGGGAACCATGCCACTATCCTGCAATTGCATTAATTCAATTTGCATTGTATTAACTTGGGGGGAGAAGCTGGGAAAAGTGTTCCTTCTAAGATTTCCCTCCCATGAGCGGAGCAAACTTCATCCTGTGCAGCAGTATTGAGGTCACGTGTGCTTGTTCAGATGCGTGGCCACTATTAATAAATACCTTATAATCCTCTCCCTTTTCCCTCTGCTGCCATGTCCCCTCTCCTCCTTCCATCTGTTCCCCTGATGCTTGCTCTCTCTCCACCCCTCAACCCTCCTCTGCTGTCCTGGCTCCGCCCTTCCCACTCCCCTCAGTCCTTCTGGAACCTGACCCCCTCCTCTGCACCCACCCTTCTCTTCTCTTCTCCCCCAATGCCCACTCCTCCTCTAGCCCCACTTTGATCATCTGTAGCTACTCCTCCCCATCCCCTCTCCTAACACCTTCCACTACACACCTGCCCTACCTCTCTCCTCTGGTGCCCGTCTCTACCCTCTACATGTCTGCCCTTCAACTTCACCCCACAATCCCCTGGCACCTGCACCTTCCCTTACCCCTACCCCATAACCTCCCTGGTTCCTCTCCCTTCCTTTACTGCCCCTGACCTCCTTGCCCTCTTTCTCCCTGATATCCCCTCATATGCCTGTTGGGGGCAGAGCCTGTAATTGCCTCACAGGCCAGGTCAGAGCCCAAGACGGGCCAAATCCGGCCCACTGAAAGACTTTTGCTCACCTCTGGTCTACACTTAGGGTACGTCTAGACTACATGCCTCTGTCGCCAGAGGCATGTAGATTAGGCTACCAGACATAGAAAAATGAAGCGGCGATTTAAATAATCGCCGCTTCATTTAAATTTACATGGCTGCCACACTGAGCAGCTGTTTGTCGGCTCAGCGCGGCAGCCATGTAAATTCAAATGAAGCGGCGATTATTTAAATCGCCGCTTCATTTTCCTATGTCTGGTAGCCTAACCTACATGCTTCTGGTGACAGAGGCATGTAGTCTAAACGTACCCTAAGTTATTAAGTGCAATGCTGTAACTAGGGATGTAAAAGTATAACCAGTTAACTGGTAAGCTTCATGCTTATTGACATCTGTTAATGATTCAACTATGCTTGGGGTCCGAGCTTCTGCCCACTGTGAGGACCCCGGGTGCACCAGAACTGGGATCCATAGTATATAGGGCTGGGACTCCCCCAATGTAAAACACAGAGATACTGTAGCATACCCCCACATCCCTAGTACCTAGATTAAATGTTTAACCATGTAACTGATAGAGTTTAACATGGGGCAGCATGACCAAAAGTAAAAGAGCGCTTGTTTAAGATAGGTAATAGGTGGGCAATGTAAGCCGACTCCATGGGGCTGACTGGCGGGGAGTATGGACAGTTCAAGGAGCAGGCGAGCTAGCAGATGTGGCTTTGAAGTAGCTGATGTTTGAAGAGACTGGGAAGAGGAAGCCAGTAGGAGGGACACGAAGGGAGGCCCGACACGAAAGGGCTTCGCGTGTCTCTGCCCCAGCAGAGGAGCGAACGTCGCAGGTCTCCCGATGCAAG